GTAAGTCCGTTTCTGAACTTCTGGTTTGCCCATAGGGCCATTTTTTTGCGATTCGGAGGCTTCAGGGAAGCTCCTGAAGTCTCCGAAGGGGGCGGGGGAGGCTGTTTCGCCATCCCCAGGCTCCTATAAAGCCTCTAGAGCCTGGGGAGGGGAAAAACAACCTTAAAAAAAGGCTGAAGTCAGCTGACAGGGAAACGCCTCACATGTCTTGACAAATGGATCTGCATGCCACCTATGGCATGTGTACCATAGGTTCGCCATCCCGGTATTAGAGGATGCTTGAAAATAATATGAAACAATGTCAGAAGACTGAAGAACAACTGAAAATGCTCCTTGCAGTTGACCTGAAGCATTCTAGTGTATTCATCAAGAGATGAATCATCAAGAGATGGCTACAAACAAATAAAAGGAAATGGAGGGTAATGGAAAGGCCAGGTCAAAACCCAGATCTAAATTTCACTGATACGCGTGATTTGAAACAGGCTATGCAAGAAACCCCTCAAACAGGCAAAAATTCTGATGGAAGAGTAGAAAAATTTCCCTCAGCTGATGTCAAAGACTGAGAGCGATGCCTATCCTGATGTTGTTTCTGCCAAAAGGGATATATAAAGTATTAGAACAGAAGGAGATTGTATACACCATATATTAATTTTTGTTGAATAGATGATTGCAAAGTCATTTCTCAGAACGTTTTTTGTTCAGTTATATCACCTTCATCTTTATATACTGTTTGAAATTACGAATTGTTGTATCCAAATACGTTTAAACAGGAAAAATAGTTTACATGGGATGTATTTACTTTTTCATGTGGCTGTAGTTACAAAGAGATCTTGGAATCAATGGTAATCCATAAAATATTGTAGGTAACTTCAACAAATACTGTATAATTGAACCATATTTTTCAGTAGTTTTATCAGCATTCTAAACCTACTTGAGTAGAATAGTGGTCCTTGAAGTGATTTGTTAACACAGCCTTTGCTTAATTAATAATACATATCCCAACATTTTGAAGCCGACAAATAAGGGCTAATTGATAGATTCTCAAAATCCAAATACGACCCTATGAGAATGACTCATATAATAACAATGTATTAAAAATATGAAGCATTTTTCAGGAGGGCCCCAAGATTTTCTTTAAAATTCTGTTCTTTACATTCAAAAGGTAAAGCTTAGCTTAGCTGCTATTATGTGTAGAATAATTTTTAAGTTACCAAAACTAAGTGCAATCATCTGAATATTACTTGGAAGAATAATATTTTTACTTACTTCCCCACACAGGAATATCTTTGCTTTCAGCTTTCATAACAATGGAAGCCATAGTCATTGTCACTGGTATTGCATCAAAATACGACGAATGTGGAGCCAGCGTCAGAATTGCTGCTTCAGTGGGCAACGCCTGTCTGCCCTTCACATTTATCCAATGAAATCCACCAGCAAGCCACATTGTCCTCATAATTGCCTTCAGCAAGAAATCAATAATTCTGAAAACAAGTGGATACAACAGATGCAAAAGAAACCTTGTTATTTTAAAATAACAGGCTAACCCTTCCTAGTTGACCAAAACTTTTGAATATATTAAAAAACAAAGTTCTCGTTTCTTGAGAATGTTTTAATTTTAAAACATCATACTGTTATGTAAGATAATTAAAAATCGCTTAAACAGTAAAATGTGACCTATGTGCCCAGTGATTCCTCTGATTGATTTTATTATATATATATTTCCAAAGGCAGATGGTTGCAGTAGATCACTATAAAACAAAAAATTACTAACACCTAAGGTAAATTGATGGTGTGTAAATTTGGGGACCAACAACCATGCTTGGCATTTAAGTATCATGCCAAGGCATCCAGTTCGAAAAAAAATAAAGGACAGAAATGGATGGTGTTATGACAAAACAACTGATTTAAATTAGGTAAGTGACAATTGTTAAAATGCTTATTACCTGTGTTCAAAATTCGGTGGCCTTATAGCAGAAAGTTCCACTGTCCTCATATCATTCTGTTTTCTCCCAGAATGTGTTAATTTGGGGATAGTTTACTGCTTTCTAGAAATGATTATTCCAGAACAGAAATAGCCCTAAAGTTTCTAGGACCGTAGGCAGTCTTAAGTTATCCAGACTAGAATAAATAATTGCTAAATCAATCCTGCTTTCCTCTGATTTTACTATTCACTTTATCACCTCCTTATCCAACACTTCTAGAAATCATAATCAAGCCTCCTCTGTATCCAAACAAAATGAGTGAGAGATTCAGGAAAATAAAAAAGCCAAGTTTTACAATCAAATCAGCTTTATAAAGGCCATATGAAATAAAAAATGAATGAATTTCTGAGCCTCTCCCAGTCATTATCCATCATAGATGTTCAATCAAAGCAGGCAAAATGTATCCATTCTATGACATAAATTATATTACTATGGAACCTCTTTGTCAATATTGAAACAATAATATTGTTGAATTCCTTCCCTCTGAAAGCAAAACTTTGATTAAAAAAGAGAAGTTACATTTTTATGCATAAGGAGCTTGGCCACAAAGCATTCTCTAAAGGTGAAGGAGTGGGCATCTTCACTTTAAATATATATTTCAATGTGCATATGTCGGAACTAGGTGTTTGAACCACCTCTTTTTCTTTTAAGATAATATGATGAAACACTCGGATGACAGAAGACTATTTTCTACATTATTTCTCATATGACTAAATGTGAAAAGTATGAACGAGGAGAGGCTAAACTGCTCGGCAAAGGCTAGATTTTGATCCAATCAGATGTACCTATTGTTAATCCTGGTATTAACATTGCACGGGAGAGCACACACTGAAATACTTCCACAAACAGCCGAGCTCTCAAGAGCTTATCAACATTTTCAGTAACTCATCTTCAAGTTTAAAGAGAAAAGTACAAATGCAGTTTAAGTAATTGAGGAAGATTCTACACTAAAATATAAGCAGCATTGTAGGAGGAAGTTATTCATTGTAAGCAAATCTCTCTCTCTATATATAATGCCTTATTATGGAAGTATACTTTCTCTACAACAAATTCATTTTAGAGTCATAACAAAAATATAAGCATTTTAAGTTACTTATCTAAGGATTGCGATATTTGGAGACTGGAGGCCACAACTCAATTTCTCATGCTTCTTGAGGGCTACATAACCTCATGCTTTGGGAAATAAACCTCGCCATCCTGACCCTAATGCTACATCCATTGAAATAACATCACTGGAAATGATAATTGCCATATTCTGGGGCTGGGCTACTGGGAGGGTGAATAGATAAGGTCCTAAGAACTGAATGGAGCCCACTTTGCTCACTGCTGTCTTATACCATATCAGTTGAGGTATGGCAAGAGATACTGGCAAGTAAAACAGACATAACAACTTACTTTCGCCACCACGATATCGGTTTTTCTAGCTGTTTTTCAGCAGATCCTATTGAGGCAATGAAGGCAAAAGGCCAAGCCAGCAACATCATAAACGCAGCAAAAAACAGCCGGATGGGGAACACTGTCAAGGTCATGAAGACAATCTGCAAAATTAAAAGGATTCATTTCAAAGGATTGGATTTGGACACAAGCCAAACAATATTTGATTGATGAGCACATAAAACAATTAACAAACCTTTCTTAGCAATAGCAATAGCAGTTAGACTTATATACCGCTTCATAGGGCTTTCAGCCCTCTCTAAGCGGTTTACAGAGTCAGCATATCGCCCANGTACTACGAACTTGCCTTTAAGGAGAAATTAATTATTTCAGCTGGATGCATACTAATATTGCTATCACTGCTGTGCTGCTTGGTAGACTATATATATTTTAAAGAGAGCCTTTCACACAGAGATGCATAAAGCTCTTGTAGTAGCTTTGTATTTTCAACTTCCAGTCTCAAACATCATTAGTGACTCTTATTAAAAAATATTACCGTAGCCAGTCCTAATGAAAACTGCATACCAAATAGCACTCAGTACTGAATATCAACCTCCCCTCCCCCTGTTTGCAACATTAGAATAAGAAATGAGGGAGCAAGGATCATGTTCCAGGCTCCCTTTTTTCTTATGGTTGGGATATTTGAAATATTTCACTGTCTCATAGCCAGATCAGGAAATTGGGATAAGATTTTCAAGTTGCATTATTTGCTCTGAGGTGAAAACAAAACGCATGTTTTTATTTCATACACAATCCTGCAGGTATTAACAATGCATTCTATTTGTTTTAAAAATTGTTTCATAGAGGACATGCCTTAAACAACATTAACAATCCTCAGAATAGTCAGATCACTTTGGATACCAATTGTCAGTTTTTATTTTAGAAATATTAAGTCACTGCCCTTTACATCTGAACAAAAAATTATTTGGAGGGCAAATGTCACACTAAATCTTAGAGTAATAAATAAGTCAAATAGTATGTCACTGACTTACGCTCCTGGACCTTGCCATGTCCATGTAATCGTATCCTATAAACAAAATAATTGTTTTAAATATAGGTGTCACAACTTGTTGCCCCACTCTCAACATATTAACAGGCTTCATCAGAAAAACAGCGTCCCTTTAGCAGTAGATAGATGTGATACATTAATCACAGTATCATCTCAAAGATTTTGAAAATGATTAATTATTTAAATTAGAAATATAAAGCCAGGTGTTAAACTTTACATGCTAATTTTATGTCTTACACCAGTGGTTCCCAAACTTGGCAACTTTAAGACTTGTGGACTTCAACTCCCAGAATTCTCCAGCCAGCTCAGCTCTGCTCTGCTGGGAGTTGAAGTCCACAAGTCTTAAAGTTGCCAAGTTTGGGAACCACTGTCTTACACAAGTAACATTTCTATTAGAAATATTAGAAATAGAAGTATTAGAAATAAAAAATTAATCTATACCCTCAGAAATAAGACTTCAAGGCAGATAAAATAATNTAGATAGATAGATAGACAGACAGACAGACAGACAAACAGAGATAGGTAGGTAAGGAGAGAGAGTATGTGTGTAGGTAGGTAGGTAGGTAGGTAGAGGGATAGAGAGAGAGAAATAGAGATAGGGAGAAATACAGTAGATAGGTATGTGTTTCTGCTGGCACAGCACTTGATCAATGTAATTCTCACCAATCAGTTAAAGAGCTTTCCAAAAGGAAAAAAGAGTTTCTGCACTCTGCAAACCTCCACAAAATGGCAAGTTTTTCACAAAAATGGACTCGTTTCCCCCCCCCCCAAAAGGCATGAATAGCCTTGGGGGACTTGCAGAGTGCTCGGGGGGGGGGACAAAATGAGCAAAAACGGTCCATTTTTCATGAAAACGAGTCCGTTTTCCATCAAAAAAATTGCATGCATACCCTTATGGAGACTTATAGAGTGCCGTTGGGGGCTGGGGGCAAAAAATGGCCCATTTTGTGTTCATTTCTGTCCTCCCCAGCCCCCAGGAATTCTCTGAAAGCCTCCATAAGGTATGCATGGCCATTTTGGTGAAGGGGGCGGGGCTCCGGGAGGCAAAAAATGCTGTATTCGATGTATAAGACGCACCCAGATTTTCAGCCTCTTTTTTGAGGAAAAAAAGTGAGTCTTATAGTCCGAAAAATGCGGTATTTAAGTTATGTAAAATGTATCAATAATAGAAAGAAACAAAATATAATTAATAAACATTTCTAGGAAAAAAAGACAATGTAACTGTTAATTTTTTCTTTATACTTGACAACAGGAACCACCGTTGAGTGCTACAATAGTAGCAATACATTAAAAATAAACTAAAACAAACTTGTTAGTTATTACTTTGCATATTAAACCCTTAAAACTGAAAGCACTTTCTAAAATCCAACTTAACATGCCCATTTTATTCTTTTTTTAAAAAAAAAATTACCTTACTGAATTGAGAACAATTTGAAGCTCCAAACACTTGAGACAATTACTTGTTCTAGGTGACATGAAAACTTAATTAAAAAGCCAAAGCATAGCAGCCTAGAGAAAAGTTTATAAATCCAATGCCGTGCGATTTTAAAATTATGTTATTCCCTTCTTCCTAATTATCCCAGCACTGGGGTGAGGATCCCCAAGGGTGGAGGAAAAAAAAACCCTATAAGATTTGCCCTTTTACCCAACTTCCTTATGAGTTGAGTTACAGAAGCCTTCCCTGTTATTTAGGCTCATCCATTGGTTTTGGGCCATATCGTTCTAATATTGGGAAGCAAAGTAAAATCATAAGCTCAGTCACGGTCACGTGATCTTTCACTTAGTGACTGAGTTGCCAGTCCCAATTGTAGTTGCTAAATGAGAACTACTTGTATGAGCAGAACTATCAGGAATCAAAGAAAAGTTTTACCTATGTACATGCAACTTCTTTTCCTTCTCTCATCCTCCCTATTGCCTATGAAATATATTCTCAAATTTACATACCATACTCCGTGACTCATTTGCTAGGCTATTTTACTGTACTTATTTATAACATCATGGACCTGCATGGTATTGTTACTTGTGAAGCAAAAGAAAAATAGTTGTCTAGGAAAGTTTCCCGTGCTTTCACGAGGGAGAGGGGTAGGAATAGATTTTCTGAAAAAGGGGATGGGGTGAAAAAAGAATCAGGGGTCTCAAACTGACGGCCCGTGAGATGGATGCATCTTGCGCAGGCCACACTCACCCCAGCTCTGTGACGGGGGGAAAACATCGCAATACATCACATGATATCATGAAGTTGCAAGTTTGACACCTGTGAGCTAGAGCAGTGGTTCCCAAACTTGGCAACTTTAAGANCCTGGCTGTTCCGACAGGCCTGGGGCTGATGAGTTCCCACCCCCTCTCGAATTTGTGTGGCTGTTGGTTGCTTTTAAATTGTTTTTGTATTTTGTTTGTTTGCCTTTTGTTTTTTTGTCTGTATTATCCCTTTCCCCTTTGGTTTGTTAGCCACCCTGAGTCCCTTCGGGAATAGGGCGGCATACAAGTGCAATAAACCTTCTAACTTTTTAGATTCTTTCCTTTCCCTTTGTTTTAAAGTGGAAAACAATACTCTTACTCAGCAACTCTCCTCTGAGTGCTTACGTTGTGTAGTGTGAAGACTGCTGTGGCTGTCATCCACTTAAGGCAATAAAATGAAGAAGAAAATGTGGTTGGGGATGATATATAGAGCCGGACATAGCATGAGAAGGAAGATGAGGCCAAGGACAAGCCCCACAATATACCGTGAAACATTCAGGAAAGGAGGCTGAGTGGAAATGAAGAGAATCTGACTAAGGGGCAGGATTGTAATTCAGACTTCCTGGTCAGCTCAATATGTCTGGCACACATGTTTTTTTGCTCATCTGCCTGTGGTTTTTTTCCCCCTGTTTTGCTAATCCTAGATTAGTAGATGAGCACAATTCCTAAGCCAAGGAGACAGCTGTGCAAAAATACAGGTTTTAAAATAAAAAGATCATTCATGTCTCACAACTATGTGCATTTATATTTTTTAAAAAAATGATTGCAAGACAGTGCCGCAATTCCCCAAGAAAAAGAAAGCTCAAATGTCCTACCATATGCAAAGAGAGGAAAAAATGAAAATTGATCTCATAACCTGAAAACTCTCTCACCACTATTTGTAATATACAGTACTAGACTGAAAATTCAATAGCCGTAAGTACCATGTAAATAGTAAAATGAATGACCACCACAGAAAAGAGAACCATGATTCTCAAGATCAGACATCTATTAAACAAAAGAACTAGAATGCTAATGGATCAAAAATTTCATTCAAATGAATTATTAATTATTTCAAATAACATAATAAATCTATATGTAATCAAAATTATAGACAAAAACAATATTTCCTTTGCCTGCAAAAGTATTCAGAGAAGATAGCTTCACATCCCCCTTCATAAATATTCATGGGCATATCACAATTTAGAAATAGAAATATGGGCTAAATATTCCTAAGTATTATTTTAAAAAAAAGCAATGTTTCTGTTCTTATAGGTAGGTTTACCACTTTAAATCAAGTTATGTATAGGAGAGAAGTAAGAAAATGCTAATTCAACAGGGCAATGAAAAATTCTGAATTCAAACCACTGTTGGGATTCCAAATGGTGATGGCTATTATGTTGAAAAAAAAATAGCATACTTATAGCATTTCTTTACACGCAAATAATACAATTAAATTAAGATGCTTTATCAATACCTGTGGCCATTTGCCATTAGACTGAGCACGCCGTCTTATCTCCTCAACAGTTTTTCTGCGGGAATCCTGATCCAATCGAGATACAAATACAGGTCGAATGTATTTAATTAAAGCTAGAAAGAAACACAAAAAGATCAACATTCCCAAGGGTGTTCCTTTGGTATTACCATATTTTTCAGAGTATAAGACGCATCGGAATATAAGACGCACCAAGGTTTTGAAGAGGCAAATTAAAAAAAAAATGTAGGTAGGTAGATAGAGGAATAGAGAGGGAGAGAGAGAGAAATACAGTAGGTAGGTAGGGAGAGGGATAGAGAGAGAAAGAATGAGAGAGAAAGAGAGAAAGAGAAATACAGTAGGTAGGGAGAGAGAGTAGGTAGGTAGAGGGATAGAGAGAGAGAGACATACAGTAGGTGAGTAGGGAGAGAGAGAGTAGGTAGGTAGGTAGGTGGATATATATAGAGAGAGAGGTAGAGGGAGGGAGGGAGGGAGGGAGAGAAATAACAGTAGATAGGGAGTGAGAGAGAATAGTTAGGTAGATAGATAAAGGGATAGATAGTTGATAGTTAGATAGTTAGATAGTTAGATAGATAGATAGTTAGATAGATAGATAGACAGACAGA